GGGGGCATGGGTGGCGAGATCGAGGGGCACATGGTGAGCGGGGCGGCGGCAGCAAGACCGCGAGGCCGCAGGAAGGGCAGCCGTACCGGCGGGCTGTCGCGCAGGCCATGCACCAGGCGGATGAGCCACATGTTGAGACTGCGACAGGCGTCGGCCGAATGGATGCCCAGGTTTGAGCCGGCGGAGGGGCCCTCCGGCCGTGAATGGCGGATGGCCCCGCAGATGGTGCTGCTGCCAAGTACCAGCTGGCCGACTGGCAGCACCGGGGGCCGGGACGTGCGCATGGCGGGGACGCGTTAGCCCGGGGCGGAGGGTGAGCATCAGCCAAAGGCCCGAACATACTGGAGTGCACGGAAAGACGGGCATAGACCAGCCCCAGGAGCTTGAGGACGAAGGTTCGTCGCGCGGCACTAACACACGCCGCGGACACCCCGGCAGGGGGGAGGGCAGGGGGGGGGGGGACAGGAAGTCAGCATGACCATGGCAGGCTTGGACCAGGGGCGAAGGTTGGCCAACGGGGAGGACGCACTGTGCGTCGGCCGACTGGCCGGCGCTCTGGCTACCGGCCAGCAGGAGAATGCAGCTCTCCAAGAGCGACAAGGCCGGGGCCGAGATCAGGGCGGTCACCGGTCGGGCCGCGATTGCCGGGCCAAAGTGGGCCAAGGGCAGCAGGTGCAGGAAGCGAATGAGCGCTTCGCCGGCATTGAAGATGACCACCGGCGGGGCAAAGGGGTCCTGCATCGACGAGGAGACAGCAAGGCATGGGCCAGTGGGCCACATGGGCCAAAGGGAGGAGGGGCGGCAGCGGCGGCACCGAAGGAAGCGGAGGGGCAGGCCGGGGGGGAGGGCAGGGGGGTGGGGGAGGGGGAGGGGGGCAGACAGGCAGACGGGGCCAGCGGGAGCAGCGGGACCAGCGGCAGGGGGAAGGCCGGGCTCGGGCTCCGCACATCGAAGACACTCCGGGCCAGGGCGGCCAGCACGCGGGCCCGGTCGGCGGCTCGGGCGTCCGGATGCCGCGCCACCGCCCGCAGGGCCCCGAGGGTGGCCCGGGCTCCGCGCAACGCCAGCATCAGGACCAGCTGCCGGAAGGCCTCGGCGTCCAGCGACGTGGGATCGCCCTCGGACAGATGAAGCAGGTCCAGCGAGGCGGCCAGTTCCTGCAGCGATCCGTGGCGGAAGAGCGGCGGGTGCAGAAGCAGCGGCACCAGCGGCACCAGTGGCAGGCTGCTGCCCAGCTCGATCGCGCATCGACACAGCCGGTCAATGACCCCACGCTGAAGCGGGAAGTTATTGTGGAAGGGGCTCTGCCAGTGCTGGAAGGCCAGCATGTCGGCGAGGGGGCCTGGCCCGTCCGCCGCCACGGCCGAGGGGTAGGGATCGCCGGCCAGCGGGGGGACGAGGGCCCCGGGCAGCGGGGTCGCAAGCCGCATGGCCGCCTCCAGGCAGTGGCCCACCTGGCCGCGCACCACCCCGGGGCTTCCGCGCACCAGGTCCGCCACGCTGGCGAAGAGCGAGCCCAAGGCAAAGCGGGCCACCTGTGCAAGGACCGGCAGCCAGTGCTCCGGCCGGGGGAATTCCACCCCCGGGGGGGCCGCCCGGCCGGCCGGCGCCTCCTCCGACAGGCGAAGGAAAAGCGGCAGAATGTCCAAGACTACAGTGGCCACACGCGGCCGGGTATGGTTAGTCGGGGCTTTGCTCGGGGCCGGGCCACAGGGCGCGGCGGCCCGCGCAGCGAGGGCGAAGGCCAAGGCCAGGAGGGGAGGGAGGGGGGGGGGGCGCACGCTCAAGCAGATCCGACGGCGACACCGCGGCCGGGGGAGCGGCGAATCCCAGCCCGGGAAGTGTCCCACCAGGCGCATAGGACGCCGGATTCACCGCCAGCAGCAGCAAGCCACGGTACATGTCCACCGACAGGGCCACCCAGCATTGGCAGAGGCCTGCCTGGCACCCGGGCAGGCCGGGGCACTCGCACGGCCGGAAAGCCGTCGGAGCCGAGTCCCACGCCCCGACGCTGGCTTCCGAGCCACACAGAAGACCACGCGTCCAGGGGGCATCGGCACCGGCATCTGCGCCGGCAAGTGCCTGGCCGTCCCGAAGGAGCGACACTTGCCGCAAGAGGCGGACTCGGTCGGCCAGGCTGGCACCGATGGGCGCAAGGCTGCTGACGAGCCCGGCAAACCGCAGGCGATTCAGCGCCAGAAGCAGCCGGCCTCTGCGAGGGGGAGGGGTCAGCGATTGGGGGGGGGG